TATATATATATATATGTTTACACATGTGTATTTCTACAGGTATGTATACTATATCTATATACATGTATGTATGTATGTATGTATCTATGTATGTATGTATATATATATATATATATATATATATATATATAGATATATATATATATATATATATATATAGAGAGGATACGTGTTTTGAGCATGTTCTAGAGCTATGTGTGGGGAGTTATATGTGTATATATATATATATATACATGTACATGTGTGTGTATATATATATATATGTATATAGTATAGCTGACATATCTTATACATATACACACACTTTTAGTGCTGACACACGACCGCACACACGAACAGACATGCGTGTGTGCAACTATATCGATGCATTGTATGTGGCCAAACGGATTTGGGTCTAATATATTCTATATAGTCTCACATATATCCATGCATGTGTATCATAAAGGTGCAGCACACATGCACACACACTTACACACGCACAGAAACACACTTCCTGTTTAAACTTTATGTGCTTTATATAGACATGCACACACATGATTGAACACGGACTGAAGCCCCATATGTGAGCATGCAACATCTCAACAAAAAGGCCTTTGCTGCACTTTCCATGCTATGCCACATTCCGTTCTCGCTGGCCATTCTGCGTTGCTTCTGCAGTTACATGTGACACAGCAGCATGAGCATTTATGTCTTTGATGCAGAGCCAAGCGAATGAATAGCATTTTGCTTAAGTTTTCTTGTGTCCCTAGAGTTTGTACAGATGGGACGATCCAGCAAAGACGGCCCGAAGATGCGTGTGACCGGCAAAACCGCCCCGACTACCGCTGCCAAGCCCGTGAAGAAAGACAAGAAAGAGAAAAAAGACAAGAGGGATAAGAAGGACAAAAAGGACAAGCAGAAGCCTGTTGCCGAGCCGGTCGAGGCCGAGGAGCCCCAGGTGAAGCGTGCGAAGACGACGGCCCTTGTGGCTGCAAGTGAGCGCAGCGAGCCAGTGACCCCGGCGAGCAAGATCCGAGCCAGCCCGGCGACCCCGACGCCGTCGCAACGTGCGCATGTGGAGGCCCTGATGGAGGTGAAGAAAGCGGCTTCTGCAAAGAACATGTCCATTGAGGAGTTCTTGAACCATGAATCCGGCAGGAGCTTGGAGCAACGGCTTGCAGCCGCTTCAAAGGCCGGGTTGGCACTGGGTTCAGTTTGTAATCTACAGTTGTTTTCATGGAAAGCATAGAGTGTTGTCTTTCTTAGGACAATTGTCTGTCATGCAGGAGGATGATGACGACGAGGATGGAGAAGACTCCTCAGATGCCTCGGAGGCATCACCTGACGAGTCTGTTTCGGAGCCGAGCAGCTCCACAGCCGGCTCTGGAGACGACAGTGCTGAGGAGTCGGGCGACACCGCAGAGGATCTGACCGAGGGATCGGATCTGGAGAGCGAGGACATCGATGGCGAGCTGCTGGACTCAGACGAGGAAGCGAGTGCCGTGGCGGCTTCCAGCAGCAAGCCTGCTGCCAAGCACGACAAGGACGAGAAGGAGAAGGGCCACAAGAAGAAGACGGACAAGGCTGAGAAGGACAAGACGGCCAAGGAAGAGACCCACTTTGCAGAGATGGTCTCCAGGCGCGACAAGAAGGAGAAGGCGGACAAGGTGCGGAAGAAGGACAAGAAAGCCAAGGGAGAGACCCACAATCCAGAGATGGTTTCGGAGCCTCGCGCGGAGAAGCTGAAGCCGCAGGTCGCAAAGGAGGTCGGGCAGGCCATGGTCGTAGCGGAGCAGACGACGCAGCAGGGTGTGGTTGCGTTGTGCAATGCCAACAGTCGCCCCCTCAACAGTGTAGGTATGTACTTCATGCATGCTATATACTCACACGCCTCTCATGTGCAATATGCTTCCATACTAAGGTAAGACGCACAAAAATGAGTGGAATCAGTTCAGCAGACAGTGTTTGGACAAGAAGAAGTGTGGCACTTCAATGGCACCACATGTGGAGCGAAACAAATTGGATATGTTTCGTAGATGGCTTGAGTGTGGGGGCGATTGGGAGAAGTGCCTAGTCTCAAGATCCTATTTTCGTGAGTGACAGATCTGCGTGTTTGTAATGTATATATGTAATCCTGACTCCGCGTGACATCTAAGGGTCAGCCTGGAAATGGAAAGGAGGGCTGAAAACAGTACTCTTGCTAGAAAAGAGCGCCAGGGAATGAAGAAGCGGGATATCATGAAACGATATCCGGAGGAGCCACTTTGCATTTTTCATTACGGCTGCCGTTCAGATTCGACTGTGCTTTTGAACTTGTGCCAACGGTAGTAGCAAATCGAGCCTACAAGGAAAGCGAAGAAGCTTATCGCCAAGCTGCTCCAGAAGAAGATGTTCGAGGAGGACGAAGATTTCCCGGGGGACGAGGAGGAGTACTACTTTTATGTCAATGCGGGTGCCAAGGTCAGAAAGGAGAACCGGACAAGTGAGGCATTGCAGCTCAAGGTGCGGGACACAGCTCCCGACAAGGGTCTCGTGGATGCCCTGACGGGCGAGGGAGGAATCTTGGGAGCTGGGGCACTCGCGGCCCCCGAAAACCTCAACGAAGAGGGCACCAAGAACCTCATGGACTCCCTGTGCAAAGAGGGTGTTACGAAGGCCAAGCCGGCAAAGCCGTCGAAGGAGGACGGGGAGGCCGAGAAATTGGAGCCCAAGGAGGCATGGGAGCCCCTTGGTTAAGTTATCCCACACATGTGATGTTTTGCCTTTTGAAATAGGACCGGGAGATTTTCGATATCGACCGCAGAGTCTCAACTTCAGGCTGTGCGACGAGCGCATGCAGGAGGTTTTGAACGAGTCCACGGCCGCTCGCAAGTACGCGATTGCACTCAAACACGTGGAATATTCCGGAGATTTGGTGGAGCATCTCACCAAGCACGGCAACAAGCTTGAGCACATCTACGCAAAGATGCAGGAACTCAAAAAGCGCGGTGTGAAAAAGGAGAAAGACTATCTCAAGCTGTATGCCGTCGTGGACCACATGCACTCATGGTTCCAGGGAGCCGAGGAGAGTGTGGGAGTGATGGGATTCGCATTGTGTGAGTGTGTTTATAGATCGCCATGCATTCGAGTCGATTCTGTTATCATGGTCGTCGTAACCGTCGCTGCTTCTCTTGCCTGCTATCTAAAACATGCTGTATGCGGCATTAATATTCTACGACTGCTATACTACCACTAACTACTAGTACTATTAGTACTACTACTATACTGCTACTACAACTACTTCTATACAACTACTACTACTACTACTACTACTACTACTACTACTACTACTACTACTACTACTACTACTACTACTACTACTACTACTACTACTACTACTACTACTACTACTACTACTACTACTACTACTACTACTACTACTACTACTACTACTACTACTACTATTACTACTACTTCTATACTACCACCACTACCACCATGCACTACCACCACTACCACCACTACCACTACCACTACTACTACTACTACTACTACTACTACCACGACTACCACCACTACCACCACCACCACCACTACCACTACCACTACTTCTACCACTACCACTACCACTACCACTATAACCACTACCACTATAACCACTACCACTGTAACCACTACTACTACTACTACTACTACTACTACTACTACTACTACCACTACTATACTACTACTACTACTACTACTACTACTACTACTACTACTGCTGCTGCTGCTGCTGCTGCTGCTGCTGCTACTATATACTACTACTTCTACTATTACCTACTACTGCCACTACCTTTTTCTACCTATTTACGACTCCTCTACTACTTCTGTTATACTGCTACTACTTCTACTACTACGACTAGAATTAAGTACTACTATATACTACCACCACTACCACTATAGTATAGTCTGTGCTATACGACGACTTTTGCTATTCTACACGCCACACAACGCCTCCACCATCACGACGAATTCTGCTACTACGACGACGACAACTACTGCCGCTGATCCCCACGGCTATGCAGACGCTGTGCACAATAGACCATGTTTACACACTTACTTGCATGTATGTATAACTTCTTCATGTGAACAGAAGCATATGTAGATGTACCATGCATATATATATATGTACACAGAACGTTGGTGCTATGTACAGTGGGATGTTTGAATGCAGGGATGTTTTGACTTTTATATTGAACAACTGGGACCTATTCTTGCAACCCGCTTCTTTCGAGTTAAACCCGAAAAGCCTCTATAGAGAACCTCAAAAACTGTAAGCTATGCACGCTGAGATACATCGTGCCACATTTGATCCGACCGTATTGATCCTAAACCTGCCCACAACCCAAAAACTAGCTAGACTCTCGAAACAGGCTTCTGCGAAGGGCTTGCTGGCTGGCCTCAAGAACGGCAAGAAGTCAAAGAAAAATGCCGGCAAGAAGACCAAGAAGGCAACCGTGGATGCAAAGAGCGCATAAACTGTCTCACATGCCATGTCGGGATGTTTTGGCTTCGAGTGATGGCTGGCTGTAGCTGAACTACTGTCAACAGCTCCTTCATATAGGGGTGCCCCGACATGCTGCATTCTCAAGAACAGCCTCATTCAAGTGATTCCGACTTTTATCTTTACATGATGCCGAGTGTTGTGCAATGCGCAGCACGGGAGCAGCGGTCTGGCAGACTCAGTCGCAAAAGAAGATGTATGGACTTGCATGCAGTGCATGCATGCTTGAGTGAAGTTGCGCTGCTGCGCTTGCTATAGATGTGCAGATTATAGCAATCAGGCTAGAGAGGGGTCCTTAGAAGTGTTATCCGAAGAATGTGTCATCCGACAAGTTACGCTGTATTTTATAAAGGTAAACCACCATCCAAAGCACCCATGTAGTACTGATTACAGAACGTCGGGAAGCATACTACTTCCGAACAGCAATCCTTCCTTATCCTGAGACTGAATCTGAGAAGACCCACCACAAGCCGGATGCAGCCCTCGAATCTCGCTCCTCGCAGGTCTGCCATCACCATCGTCATCCGGTCTGCGAAGGATCCCTGAACGGTTCAGTTTCAAGCATTGGGGTGATGGTTTTGAGCCGGCTCCTGGGTTTAGGGTTTGAGGATTTGGGCTTAGGGCCGGGTCCCTAGCTGAGAAACCTTACAATGTAGTTCATCTCTTAGCTGTCGCTTCAGGCCAACCAAAAGTCTTGTTGAATAACCACTGCATTCCGACGCTTAGACCCAACCCCAGAAGCCTAATACATCCCAAACTCTTGTGATTAAGCCCCAAAATCCGAACTGTAAACACAGCACCCAAAAGCCTGATGGATACCAAACCGTTTCGAATCAACACAAATCCTAAACCACATAACTCTACTGCCCTTCTGATGAAAGCCCAAACACTAAAGCCTACACTTCAAAACACAACACCCAGCATATACTGCTTCCGGAGCTGCATGCGGTAGCTCAGGTAAAGCCGAAATCCAGTAAGCATCCTATGGGTATCCCCGAGCTCTAGCACATCACCCGTTCTGCTTTAGTGGGGTTCGGGGTTATAAGAAGACGTCAGATGGTACGGTATATTGAAGCCACCCCAACCGCGGGCTTATGCATATTGAGCCAAGCTTGTGTGCATACATACATACGTATTGGCTTGCCTGGGAGGCTTGCTTCCGTCGCTGCTGAGAGTACTCCAACCCCTGCATTACCGGCTGCTACTACGCGTGGGGCACGCAAGCGCAGGGTGGAAGAAATTGGTTCTTGCACTATAGATGAGTTCATCAGCTGCTCGGACAGCTAAACAAAACCGAATAGGGGATCAATCGTGTAATTTAATTCCCGAAATACGCAAAATTTGACTTTGGAGGTTTGGGTTATGGTATCTTTATATTCCCACATATTTCCTTTCCTGGCAAGTGTTATAAGGAATGCTGGGTTCGGGTGATGCCACGGTGTCACAATTGGCCAGACTGGCCCGTGCTATAGTACGTGATGTTCCTCATGAAGCAATGACTGCTTTCGCTTCGATTGGAGCAAATGGACGTTGTGAATCGAACCAGGAACGAGATCTTCATAGATGGATGAGAAATTTATGGGGCTTTAATCTGGAGCCTTATCCTATGTGGATGGAACTTTTGGTATTTCGGCAGGTTTGATGTTTGATGTCATCGTTTTACATCTGATAGAATGAAGATTCTTCTCAGCTTACGGCAATACATGAGAAGAGCTACGCCTGCCGAGGTGTCTACATCCACTGAGAAGGAGATTGTCCAGATTCCGGTTTTGCTGCCCCACGAGATTCTTCATTGTGTACATGCAGCCGGGCCTGTTCAGGCCGGCAAATTCCATTCCAATGTGTTCCGCATTGTCAAGCGAGAGAGACAGAGAGAGAGAGAGAGAGAGAGGAAGAGAAAAGAGAAAGCGAAAGAGAGAGAGAGTGAGAGAATTAGCATAATTAGGGAGTGAAAGATCCGACGTTTGATCGAGCACAGACCCTGCAAATATGTCAGTTTCAACGATCTATGACTGGTGGGTTCTCCTGCGACGATATCAAATCCTTTTGGGAACGCTGTCGGCAGTCGGATGAATGGAAGCACCATCCAGTCTTCAGTCAAGAAGACCTTGACTTGGGAAGTCGCACGGCCAAAAAACAGCTGTCGATGCTTTGTTGTGGCCATATAGAAACTTTGTGAAACCATCAATGATCATCACCCAAGGATGTGTGCCTATTTGTTTCCACTGCGACGGAGCTGAGTTTTTTCGAAATTCCGAGTACATCATCTGGAACATGAGCTCGATATTCACGGACAATGAATCGGATGTTCCTGGCTGCATCATTGAGTAGACTTTGTGAAGTATGTTTTGATCGGCCACTGTATAGAAACTTTTTCTCGGTTCGCTATGTGTGCTTTTGGCTGGGTTTTAATTGCGATCAGGTCTGGGATGTAAAATTTCCGAATGTCATCATCCCGCACGTAAACATGAGAGATGAGGAGGTGCAGCGATATGCTCATTCGAAAGTAGCATCTGCAATGTCATGGTCGATGTGGCAAAGCCTGAAGGGGATTGGACCGGAGTTCGACATGGACAATGATCGTTTAACATCGCCATTCCAGTTGAGCCTCACAGGCAAACGATTAGCAGATGGATGGAGATTGGTTTACTTTGGCTGGAAGGCAGACCTCAAAGCGAGAGTGCAAGCGCACTTTTTTTCCAACTACTATCTCTGCAACAATATCTGTGACAGGTGTTTTGCCACATTGCCGAAGGCAAACGAGCATTTGGCATTTACGCATTTGGGCGAGGATGCTGCTTACTGGATGACCGAATTGGGTCATAGCGATTATGTTCGGCATACAGACGACCCATCTCCATGGATGAACATGCCGGGCTTCCGGTTGGAGACTGTCCTCTTTGATGTGATGCATATCTTATGGTTGGGAACGGCCCGTGTTCTGTTGGGTTCGTGCTTGGGTGTTTGGCACAGGCTAGGATTCCTGGGCAATGGAAACTACGAGCGTAATCTGAAAGCTTTCTCTGTCGAGATGAAAAGTTTCTGTCGTGCAAACAAGAATATGGGCCGATTGTTTCAGTATGTATCGTTTGGTTCTTGCTTTTCTGGTCCGTTTCTAGTTTAGATTTTGTGCTGCTGAATCAGTTCCCCATGCGAGGATTCATCTCAATATGCCGACTTTCACGAAAAGCAACACCATCCAAGACGACTGGGCTGAGCTGGGGAGTGTGTTCAAAGCAATGAGTGTGAAAGCCAGCTTGTATTATTTCTGTGTCAAAGCAGCCGAGTTTTCGCAAGCAAGACCGGAGGATTCTTTTTATATCCAACACCTTTTCTGCGTAGAACTTTTCGTGTAGTAGCTTCTGTGTGGTCGAAGAAACAGCAGCTATAGTGTATGCAAGCAGGAGGGGATGGCCAAGCTCATCACGGTCTGCCTTTGGAGCCTCTATGATGCCTGCAAAATCCTGGATGCCTGTGGCCTAGAGTTGGAGGAAGCTGACGCCGAGGACCCGATGCTAGAGATTCTAAAGATGATATTTTGATCGTATTTTCTGATCGCTTACTGCTTGCAGGATGCCCACAGCAAAATCTGCAAGCATTGCAAGACATGGCAGTTCCTAGCTGCTGGGTGTCTTGTGAAAGGCTGGAGATGCTTTAAATGCAAGCCGAAATTGCATTACTTGCTTCACAATTCCCGCCAAATGCGTCGTACAAAGCTGAACTTGTTCATCATTGGTGCTGTGTGGGCCGAAGAAAGTTTCTTGGGGAAGCTGAAGAAAGTTGGCATAAAGTGCCATCAAGCTTCTTTGATGCGACGGCTCTTTGCGCGAATACTGCTACTGCTTGGCCTTCGTTTCCGTCAGTCGCGAGAGTGATAAATGGTTCGGCCACTACATCAATAGTACCAGCTTTTATAGGGGGAAACTATCTAGATATCCCAAGCTTGATTGTCGGAAGCCCGGCCTCTTGTCCAGCACTTCGAAGTCGCCCGGCAGGCGAGAAAGGCTTGGGCTGGACATCGGGGTTTGAAGGTTGTTGAGGGCTATAAATCTTATACTGAACCGGGAGCCCTCAAACCTTTCACTCTAAACCTCAACCCCAAACTCGAAACCTTTTACCCATATAACCCCAGACCCAAAACACTTCACCCTTGACCCTAAACCCGTTAATCTCTGAACTTCTGACCCTAAACCCCAAACCTCAAACAGCCACTTCCTTATACTCTCAGCAATACAGAACGGAGAAAAGGATTGCAGGTAAACTCGTTCTCGAAGTAAACACAACCCCCAGCCCGAGCTCAACAAACCAGAACTTGCTGTCTCCTTTGGACTTTGAACCCTACAGGAGTTGAGCTTTGAAGGTTTGGGCAACTTCGGGCATTAAATTTGGGGTTGCCTTCAATCTTGACGCTTACTCCTTTGTAGTCAAACCCTGCAGTTGTTCATGCAATGCCTCTTACATCACAACCTGTTGTGTGTAGCTCCTTTCATATCATTTAGGACCTTGCAGCTAGAGGACGTGTACCAAACTCAAGCCATACTTGGAAGGGCAGGGGACTTAGTAAGTCGTTTATAAGTAGGGTTACAATTATGGGGTTACTCCATTATATAACTCTATACTTATAACCCACTTACTAAGTCCCCTGCCCCTCCAAGTAACCCTCAACTCAGAGCCCGAATCATCTTGGCCACAGTTGGGAACTGCAGATGTAGGCATTGAAGGAAAAATCTACCTACGTTTGCTAGATAAACTCATACATCCTACTCAAGGCCCCAAAGCATAAATCGAGTGCCTTATAAAGCCCTAAAGGGTAGAGCTTCATGACGTTGCAGAAACCCCAAGTCGTCTTTTTAGACTGCATTTGCTGCAGGATTACATATGGAGGACACACCCGACCTTTTTTTTTTTTGTTTTGTTTTTTTTTTTTGTGGTACATGGTGCCTTAGACCGAACTTTCGGCATATCTGGGCAGCTTTGCCGCTATACTGTTTTTTTTAAGACGCGCGAGGATGCTGCTTTTGGTTCACTTTCTTTTGCATTCCCTGCAATCGCATACCTGCCCATGCATGCATGTATATATGCATATTCGGTCGCGGAGCCCATGCAAACATGAACTGCGTACGTCTGCGCGACGCACGTATACGTGGCTTTACGTACGCGGTTGCGGAGCCGTCCTTCGCATGGCTGTTCGCGTGGGGTACACCCATGCGCGGCGAGTCCAATTCATGCAGTATATAAGAGACGTATATAATTTCCTGTCAAATCTGATGCGTTCGCAACGATCCACGTGCTTTCACAACGAATTGCTATGTGCAGGCAGAATTATATGCGACATCGTCAATTGTTCTTGATTTGCAATGCTTTCGATTGTGTTATGCACATGGGTGAAGCCGACGTATAGCCTACGTAGAGCCTACGTAAGGCTACGTAGAGGCTACGTAAACCTACGTAGAGCTGACGTAACTCTCGTGGAGCTGACGTAACTCTCGTGGAGCTGACGTAACTGACAGCTTTCGTGGACTCGCGCAGCTGTCCTTAGCACAGCTGCGGACCCTCTCGGTATACTAAAATTCTAATAATAAGGAACCCCCAAAATAGTATTGGTAATGATTCAGGTCCCTAATATAGAACCCATATAGAACCGATTATAGATCGCATTATAGACCCCTTTTCAGGATCCCTTTAAATTTAAGGGGAACCCTAGGTAATTAGTTAACAGTTAGGCCCCTATATCTAAACTTTCTGCGACGGGCAAGCAGAAAATCCCAGAGTCCAGGAGCCTTCACCCTTCGGTAATGTAGGGGCCTTAATACTTAGAATAGGGTTCTGGGTGATCCTTATTATAGCTATACCTATACTCTCCATTGTAGTTCCTTGTTTGGTTAACCAAAAACTATTACATATTATAGGATCCTAACCATAAAAACTGGTTAACAAAAAAAGGAACTACAATGGAGACTATAGGTAGTATAACATTCTCCCAAACCCTATTCTAAGCATTCAGGCCGTTACAGTAGCTCCTTACATTAAGCGGTGTTTCGTGTGCCACTGTCTTGGAATTTCAAATTCCTCCCAACCAATAAGACGATGAACAACTCTTCTCAATCATCTCAGGGCGCATGTCCTACACCGAAAGCTCCAGCACGCTCAAGCCCTAAACCCTGGAAACCACGACCTCATGCCATCCGGGCAGAGACCGAAGGGCATGCCCTAAACCTATCCCCGAAAAGCCAAATCTTGCCTGAAAAACAACGCCCCCTAAAACCTAAAGCCCACTGATGCCTCGCAGGCGACAAGCATCGCCTCAGCTTCCTCGAGAGTCGTGGTACACGTGAGGAAGCCTGGCGCAAGTTCACCCAGCTTGCACTTCGGAATCCCCAAACCTTAACATGCAGGTTGGGGGCTCCATATTCTGATGCCTTTGCATGTCGTACATGCCTTGCAAAAAAACATGTTTTTGCTCTTTGATGGGGGGCCTCATGTGCGGGTTTTGAGCATTCAATAACAGGAACACTGCCCCAAAGATCTACAGGTCAGCCGTACGAAAATTCCCACAAGACCCTACACACAAGGACCACGAATGAGCAGCCCACGTAGTTTGCAGAAAACCCTATAACAGTGCTGGGTCGTGAAAACATCGTGGCTGGTTTTCAGTGTTCCGAACTCAGAAATAATTTCTATTGTAGTTCCTTTTTTGGTTTAACCCCTTAGCATAGTGAGGATCCTATAAGGTAACCCAAAAAAGGAACTGCAATGGTGACTAGAGGTGAAGCGCTCTGTGATGGAATGTAGCAGGTCAGTCGAAAGTTAGGCTGCGAGAACCATACCTAAACCTCTAAGCCACAAAACCCCTACATGCGCTAAATAACCGCCCTATAACCTCCAGGTAGCGACTGAATTGTCGAACTGCACCTGTAACCTGTTGGGCATGTCCGCGTTTTTTGACCCTCTCGTGAGCCGGTAATGTAGGGAGGCCTGGATAGTTGGTTTGTAGGCCTGGGGTTGAGGGGATAGTTGACATAGAGTCCCTTTACAGGTTCTTCGTGAGCGCTATGACTAGCGGTCCGCCAGACTTCAATGGATGAGACGTTGCTCTGTAGACTTCACGCTAGCTGTGTTCGGAACTACCATGAAACAGTGTTAGGGGCCTTAGCAATTAGAATAGGGTTTTGGGGCCCATTATACCATAATTATCATAAGGAGCCCCGAAAATGGTATTGGCAATTATTCATATAATTTAGGCCCCCATTTACTTCGGAACTTCTGCCCAACATTTGCAGCAGAGCAGTATCCCCACGAGGCTCTCACGAAGCAGCATCAGTGGATGGCGAAAGCCTCAGTAGGGAAGCTCCGGAAAACGAGTTTTGCCTAAACCCCACACCCTGCCTAGACCCCCCAACTACCCTCTCCCAAATACCCACTATTAAGCACCATAAGGGCTCCATTAGAGGGTCATTGGGGGTCCTTGTGCACCCTATAAATACTTTAGGAAACCTGCCTTGGATCCGAGCCTCCAATACGCCCACGATTTGCCAGGAGTCTTGTTTATTAGGATTCAAGCAAAGGTTAGAGGGTAGGAAACATTGATTTTTAAGTTTGGGATTCTCCGGTCGGGTACAAGGTTGGTTAATATAATCAAAGCTTCGTTGCCGAGGCTCCATGGCGCAAAGCCACTGGCTTACATGCTAGAGCCCTGAACCGATTTCCGGCCAAAGGGCGATGACTAAAGGATCGGTTTGCCAGCCGCTTCCCCAGCTCAGCGACAGCATCGGCATACCTTGGATCTGGATACATGGGCTTACCATATGGGCGCAAATCGTCAGACAAATGTTCGGGTGCTACCCAAATCAAAACTTTCAAACCCAAATCTGAAATCCTCAGCCCAACATCCCAAACCAGCCATCCTGAGCTTTGAGCTATCTTGCCAACCCTTGAGTGCTCAAGGAGGCTCGACCGCACATTTGACCCATGAACGCGAGGCTTAGGCTCTCGCTGGATGGAGCAAGACAGCTCTCTTCAACCCGAAATCATCCTAGGCCCTAAGTCTCAAGACCCAGAACCTAAACTCTAAACTCCGCAACCCAGGTCCTCAGCCCTTATGAAGACTTACATCCCTATGTCTGAAATTCTGATCAGAAGGAAGCTCTTTGGATCTCAGAAATCTCATCCAAGCAGGGATGCCGCACGTCAACACCCAGCTCCCGCGCTTCTTTGGCGGCGGGGGCCAGTGCCGTGGCAGCATACTGCCACACCTTGGGATGGCAGTTCAAGTGCCGTTAAGGAGTTCAGCGCTCATCAAGCAGCTACGGCTTTGGTGCGAAGTAATAGTGAAAGCTGCATGCCTGGGCCCGCAGTCTGAGAGTAAAACCCCTAGGCCTAGTTACAGAGGCATACAACCTGAAACACAACTCCAAAGGCACACCTCTTTCAGCCCTGAAGCCTATGCCGTGCAACCTGTAAGGGGCTAGATCGGAAACTGTAGCCCCACGGGTCCGAGTACTCCCCATCATAAGACTTTGGGTCCATTTTTAGGTACCAAAAACCATGCATAAGGACTACTTGGACCCCCAGGGTAAGATTCAGAGCGGCCGCGGCGCAACCAGGGCGGATGCAACTATGACAGCTGCCCGGAACGAAGCGTGCACAGCCTGCCGTTGAACGAAGCACCAGGGTGTTTGGTTTTTCGGGCACTTATACCCCAATAGTGAAGCACTGCGCGCCTAAACCTCTGATCTAATGGTGCTCTGCTTTCCGTCGTCCATGAAGTCTGACCCTCCTCCTCACGTTTCTATAAAGACCTATAACGCCCCAGCACGGTCTAGCGCTGCGGCTTCAAGCCACAATCCCGCTCTCTCTCTCGCTCTCTCTCTGGCGCTCGCTCTCTCTTCTCTCTCTCTTCTCTCTCTCTCTCTCTCTCTCTCTCTGTCTCTCTCTCTCTCTCTCTCTCTCTTTCTCCTTCTCTCTCTCCTTCTCTCTCTCTGTCTCCCTCTCGCTCGCTCGCTCTCTCTCTCTCTCTCTCTCTCTCTCTCTCTCTCTCTCTCTCTCTCTCTCTATATATATATATATAATCTATCGCCCTCGCCATCGCCATCGCCATTGCCATCTCTCTCTCTCTCTCTCTCTCTCTCCTCTCTCTCGGTTTCTCTACGTGCATATAAACCCTTGTGTATATCTTCATTTACGTACAGTTTTCTGTTCTTCTTAAGGCTTCATGCTGTCTTCATGCTGCAGGTTGAATTTCCGGGCTTCGTGTTTGATTGACTCAAAGACCAAATCTTCGACGGATGCTATGTATAGCTGACATACTGCCCCATCTCGAAAACATGTTGGACCTGTGGCGTAATCAACTACAGCAACCTTATTTGTCACGAGACGTGCCCACCTATCCAGGGGTGAAGTCCGGTTCAGGACTCACGAAAAGACGGCTCCGTTTGGAGCTGCTTGTCGACTTAGGGAACACCCCAAACCCCAAACCCTAAACCACCCTTTACCTGCAAGCCTTGCGGCTTGGAGCGCCCATCTGCCAGCATGCCACTTCGACGGTCTAAATCCCGTTCTGGGGTTCACTCAATACAAGTAAAGGTTTCGGCTAATGGTATGAGGCCTTGCTAAGTAGAATGGGGTTTCGGGACATGTTACCTTCAGAGAGCCAGAGTGCAGAACTCCAAGGAATATGTATTACGAACAATTCCCACATCTGTTTCAAAAGATGTCCACAGCAAATGGAATCAAGGATTGTTAACGTACGCGTGGTCTTTCTGGGTCAAGCCTGTCCGGGCACGCTCATGCGCAAGTCGCTTGAGCATTAAACGCAAAAGATTGGCACCATGCAGGATTGAGGCTTCATGCTTTCAGGATTGAAGGTTTCGACTTGCCTGAACCACCAAAGACCTCAAACGCAAACATCAGAACAAGGAATCTTGAACAAGTAGGGGGTTTTAAGGTTCAGGCTGTGTCGAATTTAGGCATAAGGAAAGTGGAAGAGCGGGGAGGACCCTGGACCCCCCAAAGAGCCCAATACGCCTTAATTAAGGAATATGGCTTAAATTATATAGGGCTTCATTTTATGATTTAAGCTATATTCCTTAACTGGGGTCCTTACAATAAGGGTCCTACTATTTAGGGCACTATATTAGGGTACCATGTTTTCGGAAACTCCCATATTCACGTTGTGCTATGAGAGTCGTGGTGCGGACGATCCGCACATGTTTTAGTTGCTTTCAGGACCCTGATCCTGCTGCAAAGTCTATAGTCGTCTGCTTAGCTAGTACCCAGAGCCTCCAAAACCCCTTAATTAAGGAATATACCTTAAATCATATAAGGGATTAAGGGATCCTATTATAATTTAAGGTATATTCCTTAATTAAGGGCTTTTGGAGGCTCTGGGTATTCGTGGGTGCTCAGACCAAGAGCTACTTGGCGCTGAGCAGCTCGGGTTTAACCGGGGGTGGTGCCACGAGTAGCTTGCAGTTGCGACAGGTGTGCTTGGAGTTATGCTCGTGCTGGATCTGACCACCAGTCCCTTTCGCGTTCACCCGCACACGCTCTGTGGCAGGTTAAACTTCGAGCATGAAGATCCAATCCCAAACCCCAATCCCTAAAGCCCATACCTGAACAGCCCTGTAACTTGAACCAAAATCGGTAGTTGTCAAAATTATGGTCCCTTTTTGGGTACCCTAAATATTAGCTGCCGCAGTATAATAGGGACCCAATAAGGGACTCTGATTTTGACAGCCACCCAAATGGATCAGATGGAAGCTCAATGCCAGAGTAGCCTTGGAGAAACTTGAAACGCCCTGCCCTGATCAACACGTGCGGCCTTATCCTGGAAGTGCCACCTCGGACGTCGACAGGTTCTTGCTTGGGGCCTATATGCCTACGGTTTCATACAGGGGCCTTGATAATTAGAAGGGTTTGGGGGCCCATATACTAGAGTTATAAGAAGAAGCCCCCAACATGATATACAGTAAATAGGTAATTCTTTATATAAGCCGCTATAGTATGCTACAGTTTAAGTCTATAGGGGTTTGGAGTTGAGACTTCGGGTTGGGATTCACGGCGGCTGGAGGCGCAGCCAAAATGCCGGCCGGAACCGCAAACTCTGATCCTAAACCTATAAACCCTATATGGGAGTTTCCGACAATTGAGGGGGTGCCAATTTTTCGGGGGGTTGTTGTTTAATAAGGATCCCACTAGTTAGGATACCTTACTAGGATCCCCTATTTCGGAAACTCCTATTTTCTAAAACCCCCGAAACCCTAAGCCCTAGGCCCTGAATACAAACCCAGCACCCTTTTACCCCAGCCTCGAGCCCCTAACACCCCCCGTCCCCCAACAAAGGAGCCTTATCAATAAGCATGGGTCTAGCCTCAGGTTTTGTGTTTAGTATGGGGGCCTTCATGGGTAGGGAGCAGTTTAGGTTTTCTGTTACAAAGCAGCCTAGGGAATCATATTGCTAGTTATTCAGACCCCATAACAAAGCAAAGCTCGTACCTGCTAAGATCCAAACCACTAGGCACTAACAGAACTTCGACCCTGAAATATACCAATCCAATACACACCAAATCTCGGAAACAAAGCCAAAGAACCCAAAAACAAACGTTCAAATTCATAAGCACGCAAATGCCACCCCCTCCAAAAAAAAACTCAAACCCCAAGAACCCTACATCAGACCTAAAATTGAAGTATAGTTTCCCCAAACCCTAAACCGTAAACCCCTAAACCCTAGACCCTAGAGCCTAAACCCTAAGGCCTAAACCCTCAAACCATCCTATAAGCCCCAAACCCCTACACCCCAGAGCCTAAACCCTGAAGCCTAAACCCAAAGAAGCTTTCTACCTGGAAGATTCTCTGCGAAACCTCCCGACCGAGCGGCGTGTCGCGATGCGTGGCATCTCCGCCAGGTTCCGGATGGCCTGTGGGTTCTTAGTAGGGATTTGGAATTCCTTTAAGGGTTCCTTTAAGGGTTACTAAAAGGGGGTTACTATAGGGGTTTAGCATTCTTAATAAGCTGTGTGGTTCTCAGTAGGGAATAGGATTCCTTTAATGGTTCCCTCACGAATCACTATAAGTGTTACTAAAAGGGTTAGACTATAGGGGTTTTGTGGGTTCTTAGTAGGCTGTCTGGTTCTTAGTAGGGAATGGGGGAATGGTTTACGGAGACAAGTATTGGGGATTATATAGGGCCATCAAAAACCAGACAGGCTAAGGGTTTAGGGTTGGAGTTAAGGGCGTAGAACCTTCGGGCGTAGGATTTGGGTTTAAGGTTTAGGATTTTCGGGTTTAGGGTTCAGGATTATAGGGTCTAGCGCCTAGGATTCTCGGGTCAACGGCTAGGTTGAGGGATTGGGATTTAAGAACGTTCAACTGCTTTGGGTTTGAGGTTTAATCTACGATTGACTTTTTGGGGAGTCTTGAGTGTGGACTTTGTGATGTAGGGCTTGAGGGTTTGGCGCATGCAACCTGTGTACAGTCCTTAAACCCCGCACCGCACACCAAAAGTCCTTAAAACCCTACAGCCCAAACCCGAAAGCCCTTCAAGCCCAAAAACCCGACACCCCAAACCCTAAACAAAAAAAACTAAGAAATCCTGAACAAAACTATAAAAACACAGACACACACACACACACCAAAAACACCTAAAAAACCTTGACAAACCCTAATCCCTGACTTCAGAGTTTGCAAGCCTCCGGGTACTCTCGCGTCTCTGCCAAAGTGGAGACCCAAGACCTCTGGTTAAGTGCTGCTTTGGACTTGTTGAGTTTCAGGCAGTACAAGGTTCCCAGACGGCCCAATACCCCTTGATTAAGGAATATACCTTAAATCAATTCGCTATATTCGTTAATTAAGGGGTATTGGGCTCTCTGCGTTTAGGATTTAGGGGCTCAGCGTTTCTGGTCGATTCTTTTGACAACTGCAGAATTCTCAATACCAGTTTGGTAGAACCTGGGATTCGCTGGGCCATCAGCCCAGAAAACGGAACTCATGACCCTGTACCCCCCAAAAAAGCCCCATCCAATGCATGAAGAACCCTGGAACCAGCGCAGCGCACCTGTGAGCGGACTGCAACCAACCTAAACCCGGGACTGTCACAGAAAGAAGCCGGAGAGCCCAATACCCCTTCATTTATTAGTCAAGGAATATAACTTAAATCGTAGAGGGCTTCATGTTATGATTTAAGCTATATTCCTTAATTAAGGGGTCTTGGGCTCTCTGGGAAGCTGAGCTTTCAGGCTTGGGCAACGCGATGGAAGCATCGTCGCCCCAAGAACTAAATGCCATCACAATCAGAATGCCAGCTCGGTTGTCACCACTCGACCCGAAGCCCCCCGCTCAAAACCGAGCACTGAGCCTCAAACAAAAACCCACAATCCACCGAAAGATTGCACTCTAGCTCAGAGCCGCTGACATGCTCGAACAGGATATGCCCACGCAGGCGCCGAGCGCTGTTTTTCTCACCTTTGCGCGGCCTTCGCTTGCCAGCCTAGTTTCGTCCCACACGCGTGCTCACCATGCAGTATCCGAGCTCGTCGACCAGGGTCTGGATGGGAGCGGCCTGTGTGTCCTCATCGAGCCTAGTTCATGGTTGGGATAGGTTTAAGTGTACATGTTTATTCCTTGTTGGTGTTTTAAGTACCCATAAAAATGAAAAAAATACCCAACTATGACAAAGGAGCCCATCTTGCCAGAGGAAAAACGGCAACACAAACTGATCCCTCTGGATCTCTTGGCACTTCCTGAGTTGTCCTTTAAGCCCTTTGAAGATTATTTACTACTATGGTTCTGTACAAAATAGTAGGGGGAATTTAAAAAGATGCCAAAGGACAACCCAGCTTCATGAACGTCTTCTCAAACGCATCTCTGACCTTGTCGGCTCTAGCATGCTGCAGGTTGCGAAAGATCACCTTGGCTGACTTCTGAACGCCTCGAAAAAGCTAAACTGTTAGCCTCAATTGTTATAGCTCATAAAGAAACCCCAAAAAGTTAAAGTCCTAAGAGCAAACCAGAAGAGCGCCAAGTCACATTCGTCTCGTAGTAGTTCGCTGGCTTGTATATCCGGCCTCCCTGCGTCAGCTTGCCCTGGTGCATCTGGTCGAGGAGTTCTTTCCTAGCTTCATGGTCGGGATAGCAATAAAAATGTCAAACGTTTCAGGGTTTAGGGTTTAATTCCTGGTTGGGTTAGGTATCCAAAAACGGTAAAATGGTACCCAACTACGACAAAGCTTCCATTTCAGAACGTTCTCTTTGGAGCGAGCAACATATTCGACCCTCTCGGTGAGCATGCTTGTCACTTCGTTCATAAAGCACTTGAAGCTGTCATCACTGCAGTCCTGGTGGTAGCCCCAGTTCAGCATAACCAAGGCCTGTTCCCTCCGCCTTTGCAGGAACGGTGCAAGTCTATGCAGGTCTACCACGATGTTGCCATCGTACTCAACCAACCACTGCCAGGTACCGTTCAGCAACCAACCAGGCGGTGTGAACTTCAGTGATTTGCTCGTCAGTCTGGAACTGGGTACAAACTTGGTTCCGCTAACCTGCGTGAAGTTCACGACACGCCACCCCTGCTCTTGCCATTTCTTCACAGCCGTGAGGCCAAAACGTTTCTGACTAATCTCATCTATAAACAAGAAGGCATCGAGGTGTGACGGGACGCATGGAATGTGGTCACCACGCATCTCCTCGTAGCCACCGATATTGTATGTGTACACTGCAATACGGTCTTCTTGGATTTGGGCAGACTGATTGACCCTCTGCGCATCGCATGTATACTCTTTTTGGCAGGGTGGTGGATGGCGATCATCGACCCGCAGCGCGGACGCCAAACAGAGGCTACCCAAGCACCAAACGGTCCGAAACCATGCCATAGTCATTCCTCTCACCCGCTGTTTCAGCGAAAGCACATGTCAAATGGAAGTATGGATGACCTGCTAGTTGGGAGACTTGAGCCTTCTGGCCACTTGGTTTAGGACTTAGGGTATATCAGGCGCTATACTTAGAGGAACATGGGACTTAGTAGGCAGGGCTATAAGTACCTTTATTAGGGCTATAAGTAGATATAACTATAGCTACCTTACTTATAACCCTACTTACTAAGTCCCATGATCCTCTAAGTAAGGGTTAGTCTAGCAGGCTGTTGTAATGGCCTTACATAGGGGCCTGCAAGGCCGCCAGCATGAATCCCTCGACCCTGGGCCTGATCATGGTCATCGAGGCCCCTCTATACCCCCCTTAGAACCGTAATAACAATAATAATAGTTTTAATATTCTCCTGGGCTTTATATGAACAAAAAATCCTAAGGAGACCATAGCTCTTTCTTGGCAGGTTCTCAAAGGCTTTTGTCAAGTCTTTCGCGAACTTTAGCAGGTGTTCTAGGAGGCCACGCCTCCGCAGGGATTTAATCATGAACAGGTAGCTCGATAGGACCATAAGGGAAGCCAACCACCTTTCCCAATCGCCAATTTTCCTAAGACACCCGGCTTTAGGTTCTAGGGTTTGCGTTCCTCAACCCTGCTGCTGCACCCTAGACCCATCCAAAAGCACTGAACCATGGACGCTAAAGCCTACTTCCTGGACCGTATGGGTCTTAAAAACCTGAACTTGTGCATGAAACCCTTAAAGTCCCAAGTCCCAAAAAACTGGGCTGGGTTCCGCCTTCCTGGGTTCTTGTAAAGGTACTCGATCTAAGTTACCATAATAGGGGTCTATAGTAGATAATATGGTTTCCTGATTATAGTACCTGAAAGTCCTGGGTTCTTGTTAGAGGATTTAACCTAAGTTACCATGATAGGGCTCTATAGTAAATGATATGGTAACCTGTTTATGGTACCTGAAACTAAGCCCCTTAATCTAAAAACCCTTCTAGAACCCCTAAAGGAACCCTGATAGATGCCCTAAAGCAGCCCTAAATGATGGTACCTTGCATAAAAACCCCTTAACCGCAACCCTTAAAGGAACCCTAAATTATGGTACCCGAAATTACAAAACCCCTTAGCAAGAACCCGGGGTCTTCTGCCGAGACGCGTGGAGAAAGCCGCCTGCGGCCTCGACGCTCCGGGCCAGGTGGCACCTGAACTCGGTGGGGAGGAGGGGGGGGGGGTTTAGGGTTTAGGGTTTTCGGGTTTTTAGGGTTAGGGGTTTAGGGTTTTTTGGGGTTTAAGGTTTGGGGGGGAGGCGGCGCATCGCTGAATTGAAGATTGATACACAACACACACACACACACACACACACACACGCCGCCTGCTAGGGTTTCATAAGGTTTAACATGTGGGGAAAGTTTCGCTTCTCTTATTTCGGGGTCCCGATAGTGAAGTTTTAAAACACTGGTCGGTTTAGATCAGGGCCGCTTCTTCTCTGAGACTCCTTGCTGCCGCCGCTGCCCCTTCAGTCTTCGCAGTATCATCTTCACTACGTTTCGGGCTTAGACAAGTTAGGGTTTACGGGCCTAGGGCTTGGGGTTAAAGGTTCAGAGTTTAGGGTTTCGCCGACAGTGTCAAGCAACGATCTCGCGGCATTACTATGGCTTCAGCAGCCGCTGCATTCGCACAAGTTTCCAGGGGCTACTGCCCCTAAGTATCAATCGAACATTGAGCTACTGTAGCTACTACGGGATCCCTCTTTGGACAAAACTCGGCACACAGAACCTAGGATGCCCAGAAACCTAGGAACAAAAGGGGCTCCCTTTTGGTATTGGGTAACTTTCGAAGGAACCTAGGACTACAAAAGGGAAAAAGGGTACTACTGGGCATCCTCGGAACAACTTGAAAATTCAACTACTGTTGATGATGTAAATCCTGCATTACCTTATAAGGACCCTAAACTATGGGAATTATGGTACATTCCCTATTACAGGTAATGCATGATCTATATCATGAACCGTATCGCCCACGGAGTTGAACCTTCCTCCAAGCTCCTGCATCTTGAAGGCCGGTTCAAAGAGCCCAAGATATAGACCTTTATCAAAAAATATAGCCCCTTAATTCAAGAATATAACCCCTTCATTAAAGAATATAACCCCTTAATTAAAGAATATAGCTTGCATCATAATAATGAAGCCCGTAGTATAGCTTAAGCCATATATTCCTTGATTAAGGGGTATTGGGCTCTCTGGGCTTCTTACTTCGGACAAGGGGGTGAGTGAGGGCCTGTCGTTTCTCTCGTGGCTTCTTGCTCGGCTGCTATTGAGAAAGTGAAAATGCTACATGGAGTGCTGTTCAGTGTTGAATTGGGAACGTCAGGAACAACGGCAGGGGCGCGGACATACGATGAAATACTGTCTAACAAAGATCCCTGAACAAGGAGCCTGTGCCTAAGAAACCATGATTGAAGCCACCTGGTGCCTGATATGTACGCCCGAAAACGATTTCCTAGGAGCCTGGTATATTCACTTACCGAAACCATAAAACCTAAAACCCCATGAACGTTGAACCCTAACCGCCCTTGCCTCAGGCTCACATGACATGACCTGAGGTCCAGACAGCATTGGATCGAACCTGAAGGATGCAAAGAGCACAGGACCCTTTCAATCGCACATTTTGTCCTTAAGTTGCAGGATTGTGTGGGACATGTTGACGGGATTTTGCGCCTCGACTCATAAAATCAAACGATTTGCAGTACATTGCTTGACGAGGGAAAAGGCTACAGGTCAACAGTCCAAGAGGTACAATAGCCAACAAAACCTGGTTACTAAGCTTACCCAGGTCTATAGCCATCATACGGTAACCCATAAGAGAGTTTGACTGGGCTTCTAGGATCTTTCTCTCTGATACGGGTGTCGATGGGCAGCTTGTGTGGACTGGGTCTTGCGCCTGCATCTCGCTGGTCTCAAGACGGTTTTAGGGTTTAGGGCTTAGGATAATAACCCTATAAAACCCAAACAGGGGCTTTGCCGCCTCAGGATTCGCAGGCTTTGGGCTCGAAGCGCTTCAACAAGCTTTTAATCTCTTTGATGACCCGTCCCCCACAGGTGAGGCTGCATGGGTTTTGACAATGGCCAGACCAAGTCCTTCGCTGTGAACCGCCCCTAAACCCGAGACCCTAAACTTTGGATCCTGATTGTCTGAAGTTGTCATTGAGAGCGCATGCTGCACATGTCTGTCAAGTTAGAGTAAGGTTTTGGTGTATACTCTATGATACTATCCAGTACTATACTGTGCTATACGAAACTGTACTATACGTTAGACTCGTATAATAAGTACTATATAGCCATAGTCATATAGGCATTACAGGGGGATACTATTACTAAGTATGATTTCCCCGTTCTGTGATTCGGAGGCGAAAGCAGCGGCAATCAGGAGCACGAAGGCTACAAACATACAAACTGCGAGCAAACCGTGCCACGCCAGAGGTTGGAATGCAATCAGAGAAGGGTTCGGGGTACACCTTATGGTACACTATACGGGGGTACCTTATTTTTGCTTGGTACAGGCTTGGGTGGTGCAAGGCTTGCCTGGTACCAGGCTTGGGTGGTTCCAGGCTTGGGTGGTACCAATGAGGACCCTAAGTTTCGGAATCTGCCATATAGGGGAAACCGATACTTACTATTCACAGCATCGAGGGCTTCAAGTGCAAAAGCTGGTCCGAGGATTCGAGGTTCGGGCGAGGACATGTCGTGAGAAAATGCCATTGTCCTCACCCTATAAGTACCGTTCAAAGACTTACGTTGTGAGGCTTCGTTCGGGTTCGTGAAAACCCTCCGAGACCAGGGAAGAGGACAAAAGCTCCAACTCCTGCCGCCAACTTAGCTAATGGCAGCAACTAATGCAAGGGATTCTTGCCAAGAAACCATACCCTTTACCGTGGCAGGTAACCCTCATCTTCGAAGCAGGAAACATATCTTGCAAGGCATCTACAATCGTAGCCAAAACATGTTGCGGCTGTGCCAAATTGTGGCTCCCTTTCCTAGCTGCTCAAGGATTGCACCGTGGATTTCTCAAAATCAGCCCCCAAGCCCTGAACCCTCAAACCTAAACCCTTATTCACAAGCAAGTAGCCGGTCTGCAAAGGCGAAGACCTGCCAACAGTGTTTCCGGGGTGTAATGTAGGAACCTGATTAAGAGATCTTGGGCCTTTATCAGGGTTCCTTGTATGAACCCTACTATTGCTATTTTGGGGTTATGGGCCCAGGGTTTCTTAATTAGGTTCTTACATTAGGGCTTAAAAGATCGGCTTTGAGGGTTTGTGGTTTGGGGTTTAGGAGCTCTGGGCCATCATGTGCGGGGAACCCATGGCTTACACTGTAGGCCGAAAAGAAAATAACACAAACTCCCCCGCCAGATTTAATGGCCGCCCCGCCCCCCCCCCCCTCACCCTGACAGCTCTTGCACCCCAAGCTCACAACTGAGGTTTCACGATATGTGGAATAATTGTTGATCGACCCTGCCCGTGCAAGAGGCTTTTGTCTGCCAACAGGTGTCGGGGCCGGCGAATGAAATCTCATTACATTCATTCGTCCAGTTGCTGCATGTGCATGTAGTTAACAAGCCGACCATACTTTGGATGTTGTTTGTTCGAGCCTTTACGGCCTTATCCTGCGAAAGCCCTTCTAGCGCCTAGAGCCAATGAGTGAATTAGCGTGATCGCGACCCGAACCCTTGCTTAGACCTTCGACCCTGCGAAGGGGCATCCTTACATTAGCCCTAATTCTTGACATGGGCACATCTTGCAAACTGCCTGCGCTGCTGCCGGTCCAAATGGTCCCTGTGGATGTTCCTGCCAAGGTTTGGGGTTTGCGGTGTTGCAGTCTGGGGCGTCAGGTTCATGTTCGGCTGGAAATGTGCAAACAGTCGCATAGGGTCCTGTGGGTTTGACCAAGTTGAAGGCCACAAATCTTCTGACAGAAATCTCGACGACACTCCATGGGTTGCTTCTGAG